TGGGAAGACGGGACACCACGAGCGTAGCTCTCATCCTGTATCTACATTTAGTTAATAACAACATAACCAATTCCTCAAACACTAGCGGGATCATTACAAAATCCTTCTGACTTGGTAATATCAGGTTTGTCTTACACTAAACTCACGCTAGAAATGCCAGCAGTGCAAATCATTTATTCATGTCTGATGATGATGTGTCCAGGTTAACTGCTAGTTTCAGGGAGCTCTTCAGCCACCACATTCACTACCAGCTCGCTATACATTTGAACAACCAATAGCAAGGTGAACACTTGTTCAACTACCAGCACGGCATTCACTTGTAACCATCTGGCTAAACACCTGCAACACCACCAGCTGGGTAAACACCTGCAACACCACCAGCTGGCTAAAACTTGCAACACTACCAGCTGGCTAAACACCTGCAACACCACCAGCTAGCTAAACACCTGCAACACCACCAGCTGGCTAACACCTGCAACATCACCAGCTGGCTAACACCTGCAACACCACCAGCTGGCTAACACTTGCAACACAACCAGCTGGCTAAACACTTGCAGCGGCAGCACCAGCTAGCTAAACACTTAGCTGGAACAACTACTTCCACCAGCTGATCAATATCAACACTACTACCATTACTAGCCGATTAGTGTCAACAATACGACCCCATACGCTAATCAGTGTCAAGACTACCTCACCAGCTGATCAATGTAATAATACAACCCCACCAGCTGATCAATGTCAACAATACTACCACAACCAGCTGATCAATGTCAAGACTACCCCACAGCTGATCAATGTCAACAACACTACCACCACCAGCTGATCAATGTCAACAACACTACCCACCACCAGCTGATCAATGTAACAACACTACCCACCACCAGCTGATCAATGTCAACAATACTACCACAACCAGCTGAACAATGTCAACAACACTACCACCACCAGCTGATCAATGTCAACAACACTACCCACCACCAGCTGATCAATGTAACAACACTACCCACCACCAGCTGATCAATATCAACAAAAACCAGCTGATCAGTGTCAACAACAACCAGCTGATCAATGTCAACAACAACCAGCTGATCAATGTAACAACACTACCCACCACCAGCTGATCAATGTCAACAACACTACCACCACCAGCTGATCAATGTCAACAATACTACCACCACCAGCTGATCAATGTCAACAACAACCAGCTGATCAATGTCAACAACAACCAGCTGATCAATGTCAACAACAACCAGCTGATCAATGTCAACAACAACCAGCTGATCAATGTCAACAACAACCAGCTGATCAATGTCAACAACAACCAGCTGATCAATGTCAACAACAACCAGCTGATCAGTGTCAACAACAACCAGCTGATCAATGTCAACAATACTACCACCACCAGCTGATCAATGTCAACAATACTACCACCACCAGCTGATCAATGTCAACAACAACCAGCTGATCAATGTCAACAACACTACCACCACCAGCTGATCAATGTAACAACACTACCACCACCAGCTGATCAATGTCAACAACACTACCCACCACCAGCTGATCAATGTCAACAACACTACCACCACCAGCTGATCAATGTCAACAACACTACCACCACCAGCTGATCAATGTCAACAACACTACCACCACCAGCTGATCAATGTCAACAACACTACCACCACCAGCTGATCAATGTCAAGACTACCCCAAAGCTGATCAATGTCAACAACACTACCCACCACCAGCTGATCAATGTCAACAACACTACCACCACCAGCTGATCAATGTTAACAACACTACCACCACCAGCTGATCAATATCAACAACACTACCACCACCAGCTGATCAATGTAACAACACTACCCACCAGCTGATCAATGTCAACAACACTACCACCACCAGCTGATCAATGTAACAACACTACCCACCAGCTGATCAATGTAACAATGTGATCAATGTCAACACACTACCCACCACCAGCTGAACAATGTCAACAACACTACCCACCACCAGCTGATCAATGTCAACAACACTACCCACCACCAGCTGAACAATGTCAACAACACTACCCACCACCAGCTGATCAATGTCAACAACACTACCACCACCAGCTGATCAATGTCAACAACACTACCCACCAGCTGATCAATGTCAACAACACTACCACCACCAGCTGATCAATGTCAACAACACTACCACCACCAGCTGATCAATGTCAACAACACTACCCACCACCAGCTGAACAATGTCAACAACACTACCCACCACCAGCTGATCAATGTCAACAACACTACCACCACCAGCTGATCAATGTAACAACACTACCCACCAGCTGATCAATGTCAACAACACTACCCACCACCAGCTGATCAATGTCAACAACACTACCCACCACCAGCTGAACAATGTCAACAACACTACCACCACCAGCTGATCAATGTCAACAACACTACCACCACCAGCTGATCAATGTCAACAACACTACCCACCACCAGCTGAACAATGTCAACAACACTACCCACCACCAGCTGAACAATGTCAACAACACTACCCACCACCAGCTGAACAATGTCAACAACACTACCCACCACCAGCTGAACAATGTCAACAACACTACCCACCACCAGCTGAACAATGTCAACAACACTACCCACCACCAGCTGAACAATGTAAACAACACTGCCCACCACCAGCTGAACAATGTCAACAACACTACCCACCACCAGCTGAACAATGTCAACAACACTACCACCACCAGCTGATCAATGTCAACAACACTGCCCACCAAAACAGCTGTCTAGCCACCTGTGCCATCTTTCCACAAATGTTCTGCCACAAAACCAGCTTGTTGCAAGCTTGCATACCCAGCTGCAGCCTATCACTCACATCAACGAAATAACCTGCACCTTCGGGGTTTCACATTTGCATTTGCAAATAATTTGTTTCACTTGCACCACCAATAACAGCAGCTGGTTTACTCTGGTATTATCACCACATTTGCCTTTACTCTTGCACCACAGACAAATAGCTTCACTTACAGAGAGATTTCCAATTACGCATGTTTAATTTTGAATCATCAGCACCACCTGGCTATCTTTACACCACTGTCACCATCACCAGCAAATGCCATCTGCAGCAACACCATCATCACAGACTACCTGGTGAGATACTGGGTCACCACTAGTACCAGTTTCTTGTTCTTCTGGACCATCAAAACTGTTATCATCAGATGATTTCACTATCAACATCATCAACGGTAATGGTTTCACTATTACAACTTATTCACCATCATCTAGCTTTATTTACACCAACTGAAGGGCCATTTTAACAGCACTGAAGGCCCTGGAGAAAGCAATAAGGCTCATACCCAGATGATGGGCACTGCCCGTCTGCTAAAGTGCAGGATTATTTATATAATAAATATAATTTGAAAAGGGATTTGAATCCCAGGCTTTCCCAGCGAGAGATCGAGTAATTATCCACTCTAGGGGTTGCTAGGGGCCCCTAGAATCGTGAGACCCTGACAGCTACAAAGTGTGTCCATATGTTTGGACAGTAGCGACACCCCAATTAATCTTACTCTAACCTTATAGCTAGCTAAAACACGTCTAGATACGAATAAAATAAAATAAATTATATTTCAAGTAAAGCAATATATAACCCACAGTGTGGAGACACGAAGAGCACTCACAGTCAGAGACTACGATTAATTTTCTGGTGTAAAAAAGAAGCCGGTAGTGAACTAATTGAGATAAGAAAATCCTGACAACTTTTAAACTTTGCTCGACCAACTTCCCATACGCTCCTAAACAGAAACAGTGACAAAGAGATTTTATGTTTTGTTTTGTTTTTCTCCCCTCTCCTACAAGCGTGTTGTTATACATTTTTCTATTTCCCATAATCGTGATTTCAAAATCCGGACACGTACCACCACTGTGGGAATACATAAACCTCATGTGTGTCAGCACTGTTGTCGTCCGTAAACTGTGTTAACACTGTGTCAATCCTTAAACCATGTATCAGCACTGATGGAACAAGTAAACCACGTGACACCACTGTCTGCGTTCGTAAACCATGCATAGCCACTGCGGGAGACAGTAAACCCTTTACCACTAATGTGGGAATCAATAATGTGTCACCACTGGTAGTCAGTAAACCATGTCACCAATGGGGGGTGTCGGTAAACTATATGTTACCAATGAAGAAGTCAGTAAACAATGCGTCAACAACCGAATTCGTATTTTATAAATTTTCTGTTCAGGTTATTCACTATTTCGCACTAAGTCTACCCTCACAATTTGACTAAAAAATTAAAGTTCACAAAGTTTAATCTCACAACCCTAAATAAACTTTAAAATTCATACACTCTAGTCTCACAACCCTGTTTAAACACTAAAGTTTATACAGCCTAATCTCACAATACAAGCCTGATAAATACAAATTTCAATCTAAACTCATCCCTGACTAAAAAAAATCTAAGTTCACATATCCTAATCTCAAAATCATGACTAAAAAAAATTTAAGTGCACAGCCTAATCTCCCAATCCTGATTTACAAACGACCAGAACACATTTACTATCGTTGACTGAGGCTTGACTGACTTATCAAGGTAAGCGAAACACAACATCTTCTACAGACGGATGAAATTCCTTCATACGCTCAACTCAAGTATTTTTCAGAGCCACCGTAAAAGTTTCAATATAGGTCAAGTAAAGTGTATGCTCGTATCACAGTAAATCTATGCTCTTATCACCATGATACACTTTCAACATAACTATGCACTCAACTTTATTCCAAATTCAATGACACTGAGATAAAAACCTTCTATTTTGCACACTCTGCAACACAGTAACACCCCATAATACACACCCCTGCAGCTTAAGTTCACATACACATTCAACAATCGACAGATATAACCATGACAGACATACGACAGCCAAGTCAAACACAAATTGCAGGAACTGGTAAATAAGACGGTATAACAAGGTTAGGTTACTTACCTTTAAACAGATGTATGGTGAGGGATGTGTAGGGTGTGTAGAGGCGAGGCGAGCACACCAGCAAGTATCCACACTTCCTTCATGACTCCCTACACACACATGGGCTCCACTACTGCCGGAGGGTCCCGCCACGCGCCTCCTGACGGAAGCCTCGACTTTCACAGATGTGGTCGTGGGTTACGCTTCAGGTTTACGTGTATACACTTTGGGTTCTGAATCTGATAAACCGAGGTAGTGTGTGAGGAAAGATGTCGGTTAAGGCGAAGAAGGCAGCCAACATGAGAGAAGGGAGAGCCACTACCGGACCACAACGGGACGTGGAGCCTACTGAGGGAGGGTTACTGACACGTGTGCCCTCGCACGGACGCTGACGGGGTCAACAGAATATAGGAAGTTGATGAGTGGTGTAAGGATGGATAGTGTGAGACCCTAGCATGACCAGTGTGGTGGGGGTAGCGAACCTCACGCCCCTCCAGGCTGGTACACGCCGCCTCGGGCTAGTCACACTTCATCACCACTCACACACTAAGTCCAAACAAGAGTGTAAACTATATTTTCCAGCGAGAAAATTATGAATTTTGGTTGATATTTATGGTGTCGGGTTTGGGGGATATGGTGGCCCAGTGGGTCGGTCGCAGCCTCGCGGGTAACTGGCATAGAGGGATATTTATTAGAGATTGTTGTGTTGGTTGGTGTCAGTGGTGCAGGAGCTCAGAGGTCGTTGTGTTCGCGGTGACGGCGGCCACGGGAGTGTGGTGCTGGAGGGAACCACACTACTAATAGTTACACTCACTCCCAGCGCCACCACTTGCACGAGGGGCGCATCAGCCAGGCCACACACCAGCCACAACCGCCTCTCTGTGGCCCGCTATTGTGCCCTCCGCTGCACCTGCTCCCTCTGTGCTTGGCGTCTGTTTCACAAGCGCTGCCAAACACCACTTTGCCAGGCGGAGCACTGCCCGTCAAGTATCCTACGAAACGTTCCTTCTCGCCCTTTGCCAACTGTGCCAGAGGACCCGTCCTGCAACACCAGGTCGGCCCGGATACGCCTCTCAGCCCACCCGGCTATTGATCACGCGTTTCCATGGTAACATTGATCTGCCCGGTGATTCCATCTTCTCAATCGGCGCATAAGAACTGTGCAACAAACCAACCAACTTATTGATCACCTAGGATTCAGACGCCAACATTAACCCCCGTAAAGTTGCTTCCCTCCACTCGCAGCTCAATTCGCGGCTTATTAGCATGGCAAGAGAAGAAATCCCCAGTCCTTGGCTCCCCTGCCAGACGTCGGGGGACGCGGGCCGCTCCCCATCCTCCGTCAGTAGCGGGGCGGGCGGGTGAGGGCAGGACTGGCTCCTCCCCGGACAGGCTCACAAGGGCGACTTTGCCTGTTGCCGGGGATGAAGGCCTGCCCTCCTGATCCTCTCTTTTGGGAGAAACGCAACAGCATTTAAGGCCATATTATCCGAGGTCGCTGCTGCCATCCTGGGAGAGGGAGGGGTGCCATCCCTGGGCTAAATTGGGGGGAAATGGCAGGGCGGCGCTTGGAGGGGAGGGGCGAGACGGTCCATGGAGGTGTGGGGCGGGTGTTGGCCGTTTGTTGCCTTGTTCATGTGCGTAACGCTCTTCCCGTAACTGTCACATTTATCATTCTTCACCCTGAAGCTCACAAAGTCTCTCACCCCTACACAATTACTCTCACCCCCAAAGTCGCACTCTCCCCCGCCCCCATACACCCTCACTGGTAAGATCACTCCCACACCTTCACTGGCACGCCCACTCCCCCCACCCTCATTGGTACGCCCACCTCTCTTGACAAACTCACTCTCACGGGCACGCCCACGCCCACACCCTTACTGACACGCCCACGCCCTTGCAACTCATCGCCTACACCAGTACCAGCGCACCCTACCCACATCCTTCATTGTCAACTGTTGCAGTTTTGCTATAAAATTCTTCCTTCCGGGTAGAGCCTTAAGGAATTTACCTTAAACTCCTTTCTTCTGCCATATCCCTTTTTCATGCACCTTGGAATACTTCTTCCTGTCAACTTTCCCTGCAAATTCTACCCTTGTCAACTTTTCCCTGCCACATTCATCCCTGTCAACTTTCCCTGCCACAGGTCTTCCTGTCAATTTTCCCTGTCAACCTTCCCTGCTACAGCTAACCCGTGTCAACTTTCCCTGCCACAGCTCTCCCTATCAACGTAATTGAATAGTTGAGAGGCAAAAATTACATCACTTGTGTTTATGTATTATAGGTCAAGCGAGAGTGAGTAAAGTATCAGTGTGTGCTCAAGGTGGGCAGACGCTGTACGCTCTCTTGACACTATGAAGAATTTGTCGAGGCAGAGTTAGTTAGGTCTAGAGAAAATATGCAATACTACAATGCCTATGAATCACAATTATTAAAAAAAATAATAATACTTTTTGAAGTATTAGTATTTTGAAGTATTTTTGATAGTTGATGATCAATATCATCGCCTGATTTGAAATACTTATGTTATACATCTGATTCATCCTACAATATGAATCTATCCAGGAAAATGCTAATGTTTAGATTGGACTATCTCGGTGGTGGACGTGACTTAGCCGGAATTGCCCTATATTAGGCTGTTAGGTGTGGTAGAACAGCTTAGTGTTCCGGCTGCCTCGCTGATAAGTACTTTATGACTGTGGGAGTACTAAAGCTGTTCTTTGTAGTGTCGGCATGTTAAGCTGGATGAAATGGCTCCCGATACAGATTTTTATGAATATGAATCATATTTTGTTCAACATGAAGCATGCTATAGTTAACACAATGCCCTAGCGGGTTCAGGTTTTACATATAGCATAGCTTGTTCCAGTTTACAGCCTAACATAACTTATTCCAGTGTAACGTTTAGCATAACTTATTCAGTTTAACGCCTAGCTTAGCTTATTTCAGTTTAACGCCTAGCATGGCTTGTTCTTATTTTAATGCCTAGCATAGCATACACCAATTTAACGCCTAGCATACCTTTTCCAGTTAAACGTATATTATAACTTGAAGGTTATACTGTACTGGAACATATCATGTTCCAGTACAATGCGCACAATGAAAACATAATCACAACACTCTACCTCCTCCCCCAGAGCTTTCAGCTACAAGAAGTTGTAATTAACTGTGTCCCTAGTCATGTAGGGATCTATGAAAATGATATATTGGACAAACTATCCGGTGAGGGAACACATAAAGAGAATGTGTCAACACCCCCAGCACTGTTCCTACGGGGTCACACAGTACTCTGTAACACATTCCCATCACCTTCCTGGTACAGAGATGTTACCGGGTATTGAACTACAAACTTCATTACAGACAACGCCAAGGGAGTGAAGAACACGTAAGGCACTTCGACTAGGCTACCCATATGCGTAGGCGTTCTGAATCAACCTTACACACCACTCTGGTATATATATACCTCACACACTACTCTGGGATATACTTCACACACCACTTTGGGATATATAGTTGTCACTTGCAGGGGATACAACTCCAGCTAATAGATTACGAGTAATACTGATGTTAATGTTATCGTTCTTCTTGTTATTATTCTGGTATTTTTATTCTTCTTGTTCTCGTTTTACCTGTTATTTTTAGTTCTTGTTCTCCCTGTTATGTGTATAGTTTTCTTATTCTACCTGTTTTTTATCAGTACTGGAGAGAGATGTGTGGTTGGTTGTCCATAAGAGAACGTCATTTGAACAATTATGACGTTACAACGCAATAATCTTTAAAACCCGTCGTTGTTAGGCTGTGTGTTTCCTGGGTAGAGCACAAGTGCGAGACCTGCCCCAGCGTGTGTGTTGGGCCATGGGTAAAGACAGACAGGGGCTACCACACACCACAACCCTTCAAATCGGCTTTCCTACCTCTCAACACCCTGCCTGAGGTGCCACAGGTATTGTCTCAAGCAGCCCAGGAGTAAAATATCGGAAATCTTTAGAGATATATTTACTTAAAATGCGTGAGATAAGCGGATGTAAGGGGTGGAATGGTTGCAGGGTGTGGGCGGCGTTGTGATGGTGAGGTGTGATAAGTCTCATAATGTTGCGCTCGATACTTTTCTGCAACCTGTGACTTACGGGAGATGGTCGCTGCACGCGCGCGCACACACACACACACACGTGTGTGTGTGTGTGTGTGTGTGTGTGTGTGTGTGTGTGTGTGTGTGTGTGTGTGTGTGTGTGTGTGTGTGTGTGTGTGTGTGTGTGTGTCAATAAAACCACAATAAACATAAATGGACGCATGCCAATATTAAGACAAGTCACACCTCCCGTACACAGCTAATACGAAAATAACAAGTGGGTCATCTTGGCCAATATTGTGACTGTCTCCGGAACGCCTGGGGGCTGTAACTCACTCACTCTCTCTCCTCTCCTCTCTCTCTCTCTCTGCATCCCCCCCCCTCCCCCAGACAACCTCCCCCTTAGGGTGTTGCTCAACCCTCCCAGTAAGTCTCTAATACAATTTTCAGGTATCACGAAGGGACATTCGTGCATAACGGTACAATACAATACACTGTATTGTCATCCCCGTCACTCATCGACACTCGGCCAACCACACTGAGGAGTGAGTGACCGAGACTGACTTGAGCTCTCTGAATGAGAGATCAAGCGCACCCACAGTCACTCCAGTAAAAAAAAAATCAGATTCCAGGAGTTGTAACAAAATATTTAAACGAGGTTAGACAAAATCCCAATTGCGTTTAAACCGAGACGGAGCGCGTGTAGGTGACTCAGCTGGTCCCCCGCCTGCTGTGGCGTAGGTGGGGGAGGGCCGGCTTCCAGCGCCCTCACCCACACATCCACCCAGCCTGTGTACTGGGTCGCCAGTAATGGGCGGGCTGAAAGGTGAAGCATAGGGGTGTGGTGAGGGCTGGGTAAGTGTGGGCGGGGCAAGGGTGGGGGGCTGGGTAAGTGTGGGCGGGGCTGGGTAAGTGTGGGCGGGGCAAGGGTGGGGGGGCTGGGTAAGTGTGGGCGGGGCAAGGGTGGGGGGGCTGGGTAAGTGTGGGCGGGGCAAGGGTGGGGGGGCTGGGTAAGTGTGGGCGGGGCAAGGGTGGGGGCTGGGTAAGTGTGGGCGGGGCAAGGATGGGGGTGTGGTGAGGGCTGGGTAAGTGTGCTTCCCTCATGCACCCTCCCTCAGGTATCGCTTCTGGAAAACGAGAATTTAGCAGACATGGTTAACTGTTATCTGTACCCTAATAATATATATGAACTTTTCCTAAGCCAAAATCAAAAGTCAGATTCCGAATGTTTCTCTCTCTCGCTCTAAAGTCTGAGATGGAGTGGCCGGAGTAGTGAAGAGAGGGAGTGAGGGGTCCGCCGAGAGGGTGCGCGCGGGGTGCTGGCCGACCGGGGTCTACCAGTCTCCATGGCACCCTACCACGGTTCACTCAACGCTAATTTAATGCCCGCTAAATCATATCTTTTCGTAAACCGCGAATTTAAACCGTAATGGGATAGACAGTTAATGACGCAGGGAATATGGACATTTTCCCTCTCGTGCTCGTCTATGTGGTGGTGTGTAGAGGCTGCAGGAGTATTAGTGCCTTATGCCTCCGCCTGGTGACCTGTGTGGTCTTATGTGTGGCTGTCGGTGGGGATTTAGCTCTTGGTCCCGTCTCTTCACTTTCGGGAATCTTGCAACACTGCTCACAATTTTCTATTTTGTTGAATCCACTATTAAAGTTGTGAATGGAATTCACGTCAAC